TTTTCAAACTTATTACATATCTCGTTTTAAATATAAAAATAAGAAAGTACATGTATTATTAGTGATACTTTATGTCTTGTGAACGTGGTTTCTTATTAAGAACTCCTGAAAAACAGCATTCAAAAAGGAAAATGAGCCCATCATATGCATGTCAATCACTCAAATTTCATAGTAAAAAATTTACCCCTGTGATCTGCGTGACAAATCGGGTGCCTGGTATGTACATATGTACGTAGCTTTTCTATATGTAGTATATATTATGCTTATATGTATAATATTATATGTTGTACGCATATAATGCATTGTTCCGTATATTTTTAGTGTTTACTTGGGCTTGGTATTCTTAACATACTTATTGCGCTAATATGATTATCATGCCTTTACGTATTATTTTTTAATTTGTTCAAGAAATTTTCACTCTTGTTTAGCATATTACTGTAAATAATGAAGTTGTCTACCTGAAAATTACTCCAATTTATCTAATTCTCAAGGCTCGCTTTATCTTGATGATAAGTAATCATGTTTTTAAGGTTGAAAATTTACATTACACAAGTCAAGTTCTAAATAAATTCATATATCGCTCTAATACTGTAATACTATATCAATCATACTTGGCATTAATCTTAATTTTAACAAAACTTTGTTATTTTTTGTCACGAATTATCGTGAAATCGGATTGTCATGAAATTTGGATCTATTTTATGCACGATTGATAGTTAGAATTATTAATAAAAGAGTATAGGTGGATTTTGGTAGGTCATATATTTTCAAATTGTGACCCCCAAATTTCACAATGATCCAATTTCATGACATTTTTTGATTACATGTATGCAGAAATTAGCTTGCATACTGTTGTTATGCTCAATTTTTCTTTTTTTAGTTAGTATCGTTATTCTATTGTCATTTTATTCCTTATTTTGGTATAGGTTGTGGCATAGTTGGGTGGTTTTAGCTTCCAACAAGGGTGAATAACCCTCAGAGAAGGGATTGTACGAGTGATTTAAACTCTCAATGATATAATTTAAACCCTCAGTAAGTGATTAAACCTCCAGTACAAATTAAAGATATATAAAGGTGTGGTTTTAGTCTGATGAGGACAGTTGTTCATAGCAGATAGTATTAGTATTATTCTTAATAATCCGATGTATTGATTTATGATAATAAAAAAGAAACCTTATAAACTATGATAATGTGTGCTACTTTAATGATTTAAAACTATTCGACCCCAATCATAATATTGTTCACGATCGAAGCTAAATTGGTTCAAGATTGTTTATAGCTCTCCCCTGATTGTAATACCGTCAATTTCGTTAGCAGAGATCCAAAAAAAAAAGAAAATGACCAAACCAAATTTTCACTCTGATACAAATAAAGGTATATAAGATCATCACTTATAATAACAAGCTTGCTAATTTTTTCGGCTAACGTACGTACGTACAGTACGTATGTACAATTTAATTATCAACGATAAATCAAAAATAGGAGCAGACTAGTGCAACAAGCCGGCTTAGCCAGCCCAGCCGCGGCTAAGCCACGGCTGAGCCATAGCAAATTTTCCACGAACAAGCGTTTTGCGAAGAATTTATGCTTAGGTGAATTAGGCTGATTTCTAGAACACCCCCTAAGCCTAAGGTATCACTATTTGTGCGATAGTTCGTGAGATAATCGAAATTGAGTTACTTGGTTTGAATTACTGTGGATCAGCCATGGCTGATCCGTAGCAAATACACCAAACAAGTGTTTTGTTGGAAAATTTATACTTAGGCAAATTAGGCTAGTTTATAGAAGCCCTTTAGGCCTAAATTATTACCGTTTGAATGATATAGTTCGTGAGGTTTAAGCCGAATTATTGAGCTTAGTTACTGCGGATCAGCCATGGCTAACCTATAGCGAGTATTCTAACGAGAGTTTTGTAGAGAATTTACGCTTAGATAAATTAGAGCAGTTATAGAACCCCTTAAGCCTAAAATTATTCTTCAATAGTTCGTGAGATATTCGAATATTTGTGACTTATCAGCTTTTGATTTTCAGTGGAACTTCTGACTTTTGGTAGATTTGTAATGTTTTTTTAACAGATTACAAATGTTTGAACAATTCACGTTTACAACTAGAATAATGGAAGAACAAAGATGACATGTAATCTTATAAGTAGTGGCAATTTATAAAATTTGAATCCTATATAATGTATTTTAAATTTAATTATAAATTCTATAAGACCTAATAATTAGGTTTTTTTTTAATTATACATTTTTTTTTTTGATGATATAGTATACAGGTATATAAGTAACAAGAAGCTTGAGAAATACCAACAAATAATTTCTTTTTTGTGAATTGGGAAAGTTAGATGGATCTAATGGTTCTATAAATTAGAATCATTAGCACAATTATCTAAATTTATTTTTAACAAACTTGGTTTCAGAGAAACTAACAATAAACCAAAATTATGAGTTGCAAGAAAGTTCTTCACTGTATGCCCGTTGACATCCAGTACCGCAGGTGGTGGGACCAGCACCACATACACCATCAGGACCACAACATGGAGTTGTGCGATTACAAAACATCCTAACAGGGCAACGAACGCCTTGGGTATTTGAACTTTGAATGGAAACTGTGTGTGAAAAGGAAAAGAAACTAATAATATTAATATATGAATAAAATAAACATAACTGACAAATATATTATATGTATTACATATTGCTATAGACATAACAAATAAGAGTATAACAGATTTCTTAAATATAACCATTTTTTTTATAAAAGTTAAAATTAAATGATGTTTTTATAGGAAGAAAGCAAGTGTTTTTTGAGCTATTTTCGAAAAAAAAGTTTTATCTCATTATATATACAAAAAATGGCCCACCTAAAAACGGTCGTTAATCATCTGTGTTTTTCAGTACGCACAATAAAAATAGATCTTACAATAATAGGAAACGATTATGATTTTCTATGTAAGATATTTAATATAGAAAATAGCTTCTAAAACAACGCGCATACATAGTACTCTTTTAGAGTTCACCGTATTTTTCTAACTGCAAATTGAATCAAGCCTAGAGTTTACGTGTAATTATATCATAAAGTGCCTAATGGGTCTGCTCTAGTGCAGCAAGCTGGCTTAGCCGGCCCAGCCGGTTCAGCTGCGGCTTAAATTATTGCGGCTGAGCCATAGCAAATATTCCACAATTAAGCGTTTTGCGAAGAATTTATGCTTAGGTGAATTAGGCTGATTTCTGGAACTTTTCTAAGCCTAAAAGTATCACTATTTGTGTGATAGTTCGTGAGATAAACGAAATTGAGTTACTTGGTTTGAATTACTGCGGATCAGCCATGGCTGATCCGTGTTTTGTCGAAAAATTTATACTTAGGCAAATTAGGCTAATTTATAGAAGCCCTTAAGCCTAAATTAATCACTATTTGAGCAATAGTTCATGTGATATTTGTACTGAGTTTAAATTACTGCGGATCAGCCATGGCTGACTTGAGTGAATACTCCAACAGCGTTTTGTAGAAACATATACTTAGGTAAATTAAGCAAGCTTATAAATGTCTTTAAGCTTAAAATTACCACTATGTGAACAATAGTTCTTGAGTTATTTGAATATCTGATTTTATTGGCTTTACTTTCGGCAGAACTTCTGATTTTCTCTGACTTTTAGTAGAGTTGTAATGTTATTCCTTAACCTTTGGTTTAGCATAGAAATATCTATTTATTGAGTCTAAACTGGAAGCAAAATATCGAAGTCACGTGCACAAGACTTGCATGAAAGTCTACTTCTACTACACTTAATAATGAGCTGTAAAATGCAAAATTTTATTTGAGCGAGTGCTATGAGGTAGTTAAAGGATATATATAGGACCAAACGTACTACTTATAGAATAATTATTCGTAAAGTACAAAACTTACCAAACAGTGGTCTTTGAATTAAGCAGAGATTACCTCACCCAGTGATTCCGGCCATTCAACGTACTGAATTGGTTGTTGTTAAGAAAGAAGAAATTTTAGTTAATAATTACGAAACAGCAGAGCTAGTAATTAAAATTACTGCATAGATAGAAATAATGTACTTAAATGATATATGTGCGATCTAATAAAAATTTATTTCAAATTATACGTACACATATTAGAAAAGATAAGCCAGTTTTACATATTTTTACATTATTTACATTATTTATTTTATCTTTGGAACATTAATGAGTATTCTATATTAAACCAGAAATTAAGAAATAACATTACAAATTACATCAAAATAAACTCTTACCGGATACTAACACTATTACTCTCCCACTCATCCCCTTACACATCACATCAGTGTAATCAAATATAATAGATCTTCCCCACAACAAATATATCTATCTAGTGGAGGTCGGATAGCCCACTCTAGTAGAGTTTTGGGCCGAGGATTAGTGTTTTGAACTGTTCAACCGAAAGTTCAACCGGGGCTGATCCAGGTAGACTTACGGATATTCCCAGCCAATCGCTGATGTTTGTTTACATTGGGTGAAATAGGATGTGTCAATCCTATTTTACCCGATGTAAAC